AACAAGCAGGAGATACAAGTCAGATCTGTGCAGAGGATGGCCCGTGCATTTTCTTTGAGGGATTAAAAAAAACCTACAAATGAACAAGCTGTAGATGGATGCGTTTAATGCCACACCAGGAAACATTTCAGATAAAATATTACCATCTCCATGAAGACAAGCACATGGCAGACCCTTTAATCAAAAAGTCACACAGTGCGCCTTTAAAACCCCAAATTTTGCTTTCTTTTGCCTTAATATTGTGGTCAATTTTTCAGTGGCTGTAGCCCGGGCCCACTCACTCGTGTGACAATGCCGCATAGAACATGTGCAGGGAAAGCACTCTGCACCTGCATTTTTTATGAACGCACCAACTACACGCTCTCTTTGACTTCATCCACAACTATTTCTGCATTTTATCTTTTTTTTTTTTTCGCCCTTTCTTACAGATCCAGTGTTTTAATATCTTGTGTCAAAAGTAGCTGTATTCTAGTGTATTTTTCCCTCTAGGTTGACAGATAGGTCAGAGCCAGGGCGTGTTCATAAAAGAGTAATAGATGACCGCCCGTCTGAAAGGTCAAATCCCTGTCAGAAAGATGTGTGTTGTGGTGTTTTCTCATATGTAAGTGTCTGTTTGATTTCCTCAAGTGTTTTAAGATATAGTCTATGAATTATTGACAATGTTGCTGTCTTGATAAGAGCAGTTATTTTAAAACAAGCTCGACAAGTTGATAGAAAAAGCTGTGACTCTATAAATGAAACAAAACGCAACACAACTCTAGATGTGTTTTTGTGGAGGTAACATGACTAAAAACTCACGAGTCAATATGACCCTAAATCGGAATCAGAAAAAAAAAAAACTTTCTTTCAAGTTAGGACTGAACGATCTATCATTTTGGACCATAAAACGTGATCTCAGACAACACAATTTTGGGAATGTCAAAGTTGTGTTTATTTGCAGTGCTCCTAAAGCCCAATTTAAGAGCCAAGTTTAGTTCTGCGTCGACTCAATGCACACTGCCGCCGTCGCCTTGTCGCCGTCGTTTTTGATTTATGGATCTGCATTGAGGTCTATGCGCCGCAAACTAATTTGCCGCCACAACGCTAGGAGGCGAGGATTTAAACCTGGCTTTTGTGTGAAGTTTAACATAAACCATCTCCAACACAATAGAAGCACAGAACAGACTCAGAATCATCAGCACATCCTCCATCACAGAAAGAATACATATATTCCACTGAGTCGTGTCCCTTAGTCCAGCATAAGCATCAGCGCACAAGCTGTGTGTGTTTTGTTTTTGTTTTTTTTTCTCAGCGCTTACAATTTATGAAATTAGTCGTGTGGTTTTAAGTTTTGTTTCTGTAAAATGTAAACAAATGTGCAGAAAGCTGCATTAAACACATTATTACTCAAAATATTGAGCTCTAATGAAGTAGTCGAAACGCGTGACTTTTAATAAATTCACCGCAAATCAGAGTGCCTCTGCCATCATTTTTCTTTTTTACGAGAATCTAGCCCTCCAGTTTGATGAGCACCTGTATGCGCAAGTTTTTTGATCCAGTTTAGCGCTCCAATTTTGTTATTTCTATTACTCAAAGTATATTGAAAGAAAAGGAAGACATACAAGAAATGTATGTAGAGTGGTGGTAGAGAGGACCAATCACAGCCCTTATTGTCTGCATAAATTGGGCTTTACGGTCCAGCGTCAAAACGTCAGTGCAGGACTCTGGTATGATGTAAGTTTCTGTGATGTTTGCAAATGTTCATGTGCACTGAATCTTGATTTGAAAAAAATCGTTCTTAAAAGCCCTATTCCAAGTTATTTAAAGGTGCATTGCTTCATCTGGAATATTTCACAGTATTGCATTAAACCTTTCTATCATCCTGGAGCCCAAACCAGACCAAGTTACAAGTCAAATCTGTGGAGAGGCAACCCCGCTCACACTAATCATGCCTGTTTTTTTTTTTTAGGTATTTTTTAAGCTATAAAACCACCTGTAATTCAATAAGTGTAAAGTAGGTCTGTTTAATGTCATACTGTGGAACATTCTAACCAGACCAATGAGATATCCATAGAAACAAGAAGGCGACGGACCCCCAACCCAAAAGTTACACAATGCACCTTTAAACGTTTTATTTACTTGTAATAAAATAATGGATAAAAGCGTAATTAAAACTGCTGTGTTGTTTTATCACTTGAGTGCTGGGCTATGGGGCGTTTTAGGTAAAGGCACTACTTTATATTTATGTTTAACTGTAAATGGTGTGGTAAAAGCTTGTTCAGATACTTAATGTTTCATGAATGTTTTTTTTATTCTCACTTATTTATTAGGAAAGCTGCAGCAAAGTGGTTTCTGGACATTCAAAAATAAATGACCCCATTAAATACAGATATAAAACTCTGCCGTTGTCTCATTAATGCGTTGTACAGCCACAATTAAAGAAAAGGCTGGAAGATTCATCATGATTGAAAGAGCAATGGAGTTGAGCTAGTTTTGTGGTACCATAATTTCTTCCACAAACAAAAAATATTCTGTTTGTGTTAATCTGCATAAAAATGTTCTGAACTGTGATTTTGTTATTAGTTTGTCTCTTCATATTTCAGTCTTTTTAATTCAGCTGAACTAAAATGTGAACTTTGAACAGATTTCTATAAGTAAATAACTAAATAGCAAAATTAAAGGGCCCATATTATATTATTTTCTGATCTACAGTATGTTATAAAGTCATTTCCTCATCAAAAATATACCTGGAGTTGTGTTTTGTTTCATTCACATTACTTATATCACTCAAACAGAAAACACCCAGTTCCACCTTGTGATGTCATGTGGTAATACAGGAAATGCTCAACTGTTTTGTTTTTTTAAATTCCATACACCTTCACTAGAATCATTTGGATAATTTCAGCCATGAAACTGCCAATTACTACTGAACAAAAGGTAAAAAGTAAAAGTAACGGTTAACTTGAAAACTTATGTTTCATTACATCACAAGGTGGAAGGTGGAGTATTTTAGGTTTTGGAGGTGTAGACAGACTAATAATAAAGGTTTACTCAAACATGTGTAACAAAACACAACTCCAGATATGTTTTTGAGGAGGTAACTACATTATAACATGGCTTAAAGCTCACAAGAGTAAATTGTACGTAATAGAGCTTTAATAACAAAAATGCTCACCTGTCCATTGGAGGTTTTTGGAGAAGTTCAGATTACAATACATTTTTTTTAAGATTGGAAAGAATTAAATATTATTTTTCAATATATTAACCTCCAATAAGTTTCAAATAGCACCTCCTTACCCTAATTTACTAAACTGTGGTCATTCAGATTGCGCCTCTGGCTAATTCTTCTGCCCTACTTTGAGTCCACAACACTTTCCATATAGCTCCAAGGCCTTAATTTTTCCATCCCCTCCTGACTTGCCCCGGTGTGGTCCGGTCCATCCGTTTCTCCGATCAGGCCGTTACCGCTGTTATTTTAGCCCCATTGATCGTCTCATAAATAGCTGTATATGTGTGTGTGAGTGTGCTGCTGGTAAGAGCTCACAGGGGACTCCCTCGAGACCGACCTAAACCGGATCAGCCCTGGTCCAAGTCCTCCACCGGGGACCTCATGGACAAATGTCGATACTCTGAGTGTGGCCGTAAATAGGACTTCTTATCAGCTGTCCCAGGCTGAGGGTATTTTAAGGTGATGGTAATGATTTTAAAGTATGTGATTAAAGCTCAGGTCAAGTGTGTTAGTGCTGTATACTAATGCCGGTCGTGCTAGAAGTAACTACTCATGGATTTTTTCCTATAGGCTCCATTTTGAGGGGGAAAAAAATTGAATTGAATTGTGAATTGTTGTTACAGTGTCAACTGTGAAAACGTGTCTCAATATTTGGATTTTAAAAAAGGAGAACATTGTTAGCAAGTGTTTGTATATATTGGCAAGACAATGGATGGTGGTTGTTATAAAAGTGAAAAAATGCATAGCACACTCAGATGGCTGATGTCCAAAAGCTTTTTTTTTTTTTTTTTTTTTTTTTTTTTTAAAGAGTAAAAAGCAATCATTAGATATTTTTCTTGCTTTGGACCACAGTACAGTACTGTGGTAGTGTCTCTTTCATGCAGCTAAAGTGTTTTGTTAAGTTATCATTAGGCTATTATGATTATTTCTGAACGTATGCGCCTTTTGTTTAAAAGAGACGCCAATAAATACACTGACAGTATTTTGCACATTTCATATTTAACCCTAAAAGTATTATCAATTCTACGGAAAATTTACTTTAGGTCATGAAAAAGTCATGGAAAAGTTTTGAAATTTTGTCAGTAAAAAATTAATAATGTTTATTTTTAAAACATTTTGGTTTGCCTTTTCTGTTTGGATAGTGGTTGTCAGCAAGTCTATCTGCTCCAGTCAATGCTCCTGTGTTTTGTATCTTACCTACTCATCTGATTTTCAGTAGAAACTGGGAGCTCAGTTTTTTGGGGGTTTGTGAAATAAAGTTTGGCTATCAATCTGTGTTATTATATAGGAATAGTTGCTTTACTGAATGAGTTATCTTTGGTGCTCAGACCTCAGCAGAAGACATGAATGGCGTGGCCGATTACATGAAGTTTAGGTTACTGGAAGTGGCAGAGGTCAAGGTGAAGAGAGTGAAAGAGACGATCAGAGGATGATGAGAGTGAAGCCACGATGAGAGGATGAAGGGGTGCTGGGGAGGAGGTGTGACATGGCACAAACTGAAGTGGCCGAGCAACTGCGAAGGGGGTTTAAATTGAGCGGACTGGGTGCTGATTGGACGAGGAGACGACGAGTATTTGGAGGTAAACTCCGGAGAAGCAGTGAGGAAGATGAGAGAGAGGTTAGGTCATTACACAGTAAATTATGAGACTTTACTAAACCAGACTTTTCTGTGTGCATAATTTGCAAACATTTTATTTATTAGGATACAGAATGGGTTCTGAAGCTAAATGGTAGAGTTGAGTTGTATTCGATCTGCAGACTTTCACACACTTTCCTCTTTGTGTCCCTCCAGCTCCACACGTGGACGGTGGAGGAACTGCGGTCACGCCTGGCCTCTCTGGACCCTCAGATGGAGCAGGAGATCGAGGAGATCCATCAGCGCTACCAGGCCAAGAGACAGCCCATCCTGGACGCCATCGAGGCTAAAAAACGCAGGCAGCAAAACTTCTGATCTCCAAGTTCACTCAATATAAACTTCTACCACTTTTAGAGAAATGTCAGCGAGATGGAGCTGCAGACAGGAGCAGGGACTGAAGTTTTGTTCCTGGTAATGGCTCAGGTTTGGAAGGAGAAAGTGAAAAATGAATAAGATTTGTGAATGTTGAACAAACAATTTTCCAAAGAGCGGCTTGGATTCTGTCCATCACTGTATCTGCAAACGGACTGCGGCGTTTTGCATTCTTGGGTGTTTCATGTTTTAAGTGTTATTGTAGCAGGCTTTTTTGTGACCAGTTTTGAAGTCACCCTCTTTTGTTTTTGTCTCATGGTACTGAATTTGTGAAATTTTTGGTAAGAGTTTCTAGTTTTAACTGGGGGCTGCTTGGTTAAATTGTCTAGAATGTTTAAAAGCACAGAAAGTGAAAGTTTAAAATAAGAAAAATGTTTCTCCCTATTTTATATCCTGGTTTACATTTTCAGAACAGAGTGACCTCTAAAAGGAGTATTGTTAATTGAAAACTTTAATAATCTTCACAGATATTTGATTAGTTGGTTTTATAAATGCGTGGTTCTCAACCTGTGGTCAGGAAACATGATGGTACACCTGTTACCTCTAATGGTACTTATCTAATATAGAAAATTATAACAAAAGTCTTATTTGTAGTTATTAAGTAGATATTATTAATAATAGTGTCTTTGAAAGCACAGTTCATGTACTATATTCTGGAGTTTAGTACATTTTAGATTTGGTAAGCACTTGTGCTCTCCCTTTTCAAGTTGCCTTTTCAATTGTTTGTCACACATCTGTGCCCATCTTACACCAGCTTCAAAAGAAAGTCCTGTTTTTGGCACATATGAGATCCAAAATGGTATCACACTCATTTTTATGTGTTTCATTGTGAATCTCCTTCACTGTTTTTTTAGAAATCTACAAATCTTGGCCTGTCCAGACCCATTCCTTTTCTGACTTAAAATAGCAAAGATTACTTTCCCCATTTTGTAATTAATCATATAAAAGAAGAAAGAAGATATTTCATAACTATTTTGTATCTTCAAAAAACATATTTTGCAATCTTGGTATTTTAATGTAAATTATATTTAAAATATATATTTAAAATACACACAAACACAAGTTGATTAAAGCTAAAAGACCCAAATCCCTCCATTTGCTAATAGTGTTAAAATCAACATTTAACACAGACTGCTTATTAGAAATCCAATGGAATTGACTTATTTCCATATTTATATTTCCACAACTGGAAGCCTTTGTGACCACTGGGGCTCTCTTCTGCTGTTACTGCTGTAACATTTCTTTTCACAATTATCAGATCTGAAATGTCACTTTTGTGGATTTTATTCAACAAAGCTCTTACTTGTGGCCTGATTATCTGAAGCCAGTGAGCATCGCGTCTCAAAGTGCCAAGAAGCTTCACCCACCGCACAGTCTAAGCATCTGGAGCTACCATAATTAGGTTTACTTCGGACATTCCTCTGAGCCAAACGTCTATATTTGGCTGTACAAAATGCTTTCTATTTTTGTACAAGTAGCAGTAGGTTTGGATACAAAAGGGTTGGTTTTACTCATGATTTCTCAGGTCAAACGCTCAGGGCTGTAAAAATTAACAGTTCATTTTCTGTATATATGTCATCACTGAGCTCTGTCTGTGTAGAGATGAAATATTTAATCAAAAGAAGATGCAATGCCCCAAAAGTACGTGTTTTTTAATTTAGTTTTTTGCTGCACTGGCATTATACTTTTTAGTTTGTTACAGTTTAAAATTAGAAATGGGCTTTTTTTCAGGTTAAATTGAATCTTGATTATGGGCATTAACATTCATTCATTTAATTTTACAAAACCATGCACAATATAGATAAAAATACTTGTAACTGGAAGATACTTTTGGGGCATTGCCTGAGTATAAACTATTTCGCTGCTGTATTACAGTTTATGCATGTGGACATCCAACGCAACTTGGTGTTACAGAAAAAGTGAAAGGGACTATTTCAGTTTTATTTTTTACTTTTTTATTGCTGTGTTTTATTTTCAAATATTTTCGTCAGGAATTTGGTGATTAAAATGGAAATGTCGAAATGTCTTAAATATGTTTAGAGTCGTAATCACTGAGAAACCGCTGGTATTATTCCCTCAATGTTTTATTTAATTATAATTAATTGACATTTGACTGTTATCGTTTGGATTCGTAACCACTAAATGTTTCTAAGATGTGGTTCAACACTGATTATAATTTTGAGTGGATTTTACTGAAATAAGGGATATATGTTATGAATGGGGAATTAACATCTGATATTTTATTAATTTATTGATTCCTTTTTTTTTTTACTTAAATGCGCAATGTGTAACCTTTCTGCTGGAGGGTCCACCACCTATTTGTCTGTTGGAAATGTTACAGCTTTACCCAGAATGTTCCACAGTATTCAAGTAATCTGTTGCTTACATTGATTCGATTGCAGGTGTTTTTATTGTTTACCTAGAAAAAGACGCATTTTTACTGTGAGTGCGCTCGCCTCTCCACAGATCTGACCTGTAACTTGACTTGGTCTTTATAGAGATAGATCAATTTAATGCCATACTGTGGAACATCTTGATCAGAACAAACAGATGGTGGATCCTCCCAGAAAAAGTACACAGTCCACTTTTACCAAAAGCTGCAGTGTTAATGTTTTAGTTTATTTCCCAGAATCAATTTAATTTGAATTTACAACAATCACTTTTGTCCTTTCAGTGCAATTATGATTTTTTAAAATATATTTTCTAGAGGTGGTTTTTGGGTGGAGCCACACAAAGTTCTGTCTACTTGAACTAGCCCACGATACTGGAAAATACTTTAAACTACTTTGGCTTTCCAGGCTTCTTTTCTTTTATCAACAAGTAAATCACATTTTTCTTACTGAGAATTGGCAGTATTTTTCCACAAACACCAATACAGGTACAAGAAAGTATTGATTAAAGCACAAAAGTAGTATATTTTGTCTCCTAGGAAACCTTTTCACTCCATTCTTTTTATTCTTTTTTTTTTGCTTGTTGAGTGCTCTGTTTCCCTGAGCTTCTGCATGGCCCTGAATGCAGCTCTTATTTGCCTTAAACTCTGCAGTGAATGGACATAATAATGTTTATTTGGAAAACACTGGTGTTTTATTTGTTTTTGATTGCTTGTTTAATAAAAATATAAAAACGAGACAATGTCATTATCTCCAGTTTCAGTATTTTGTTCCTGTTTAAAACTCTTTGTTTGGCAATTATGTTGTAATAATGCAGCCATCCTGCACTGTAAGGTAACGGGTGTTTCTTCTGGATGAGCTTACCGTCCTCAATTTCTTAAGATTTGTGTAGGTTACTGTAAAACAGGTCACCAAACTTTTTCCTTTGGAGGTCACACTATGGCTCCTGACTGATGGGGGCCGGCGTTGGGTCAGCTGTATTATAGAATTGTATGACCCTGACAATGTAGCTTATATTCTTCTGTATTTATTCTTCTATTATATTCATTGAAAACCACCACACTTTCTTTACATATCAGACAAACTGTCTGATATGTAAATTGTCCACTGTTCTTTGAAAACTCAGCATTCTCTGTCGACTTTTTGTACTTTAACAAGAGCAATTTTGCTGTCCTTAACTGCACTACAGAACTTTGTGCATGCGTTGACCATCACTGCGTTGATCTTAAGCTTGCCAGGTGATGAAAATTTGGCAGCAAATGTAAATATGTGATAATAATTTTAATATAAACATAAATACTTCATATGAATATGATTTTTTAGTTGAAAAAAATCAACAAAATACAACATGTAGATGTGTTATTATTTGCCAAAAAGTAAAAAAAAAAATAGGCCATGACAACTTCTGAGGATGGTCTCATACTGCCAGTTCAAGTGGTAGGGGCAGAGGGGCTGGGGATCCAGAGTCGGCCCACGGGCCTTAGTTTGATGACCCCTGTTGTGAAAGATTAGTATTAGACTTACAGGCCCCATATTATGCTATTTTTTCTGATCTGTTATAATGTTGTTTCTTCATCAAAACATACTTGGAGTTGTGCTTTGTTTTTATATTCACACACACGTTTACATGTTTCCACCTTGTGATGTCATGTGGTGATACAGGAAGTGCTCCACTGTGTTTTTCAACTCCATACACCTTACCTAGAATCATTTGGATGCTTTCAGACCTGGAATTTTCAATCTCTTCTGAATAAAAGGTAAAAGGTAGTGGGTAACTTGAAAACTACCACTGATGGTGGAATAATTTGAGCTTTGGACATGACTCAAACGTGTGAATGAAACAAAACACAATTCTGCCTATGTTTTTGAGGAGGTAACAACATTATAACATGACTTAAAGCTCACAATAGTAAATTGCGTAGTATTAGAGTAGTCCTCACACTTTCATATGTGTTTTAAGTTTTGTCTAGTTTAGGTAAGTTACTTCTTTTGCTGAATATATGGACTTCTGGAAATAAATGTGGATTTAAAAAAAAAACAAAAAAAAAACTATGGTACTGTAAGAACATGTATGCAGTACTGTATGTCTGATGGAAAAACCTAAAATAGCTTGAACATCTGCGGTCCTTCTTCAGCCAGAGAATCACAGATGTCTTTAAAAGCCTCTTTGTGTCTCATCAGATCTATTCACTAAAACTTCTGAGTCACTTTGTTGTTTCTGTATTTCTTCTGCCAGAAAAGAGGAAGAAAAATTAATATTTAATCTTGGGCGAGGAGTCTGATACACTTCACTGTGACTAAAGTGGGCTGGCTGCTTCTTCACATCCTAAACCAACATGTGCTGAGAAGAAGATTTATCTGTTTAGATTATGGAAATGGATAAAGGCCCAGTGTAGAGATAATGATGGCACTTGAATGCTAAATAAAGACATGCAAAGATCCGTGCTTAGGTTTCAGGATGAATTAGCAAACATTTATCAAGGAAGACTCATTTTTGTCACAGTGAAAGATCAAATCAAGATGAAATCATTAATGTGGACACTAAAAACAGGAGAGAAAAGAACAATTATTTAAATGGAGCTAAGAAATAGAAAATCACCTATACATAAAAGTTTCTTTGCAAAAGTTTAAAGACTTTTTTCAGTTACTGAGGCATTCTTTTAATTTAAAAAAAAATAATTTATCTTTCACTAAATATACACAACAAACGATAATACTGAAATTAATTAATGCCACTGACAAAGTAACCCAAGAGTAAATTTAAACCAAACAAAATAAACTATTCAAAATCTACAATATTGTTAAAAACGCATGAGCTGCAATAAATAATTAGCAGAGTGAAATATTTAAGCACTTAGTCCTAAATTTTGCATCTGTAAAGAGTCATTAATTCAACCTTTTACTGCTTAAATTTGATCATACTGCCAAAAAAATAACCAAAAAAATAAATAAAAAATAAAAATCCCCAGTAGTGCAAGGAAAATGTACACATGATAAACTTTGAACCCCCAAAAATATTGTTCAGCTTTCATATATTTCATAAATTGTGACAGGCCTAGTGCTTAATTCAGGGTGTGTTTGTGTAATTGTTGTTTGTTTGTTTGTTTGTTTGTTTTTGGTGAAATATACACCACCTCTTTGCCACCATGGAGTATCACATTAAACTTCTCCTATCTTGCTTTTATGAAATTTCAGCTGTTTCTATTGCTAAAATAAGAGCTTGAAAAACATTGCTTCTTACTGTGAGTGGGATTGCCTCTCCACAGACTTGACCTGTAAACTTGACCTAATGACATCAACTGCTTCACTCCGTGGAGGTAGATAGAGGCTCATTCCAGACAAAGTATTGGACTCCAGAAAAGTAAATACTAGTAGTGCTTTGAGTAAGACCTGGATAAATTTCAGGTTTCGTTCTACGTCTCTTCAAAAACATGTAAACCGTGTTGGATCTGCGTAATATGCCTGACAAAATGGATTTTAAAACATGTAAGAGCTTCATGGATGACTTCAAAGAGAGTTATGATGTTAAATTGATCTGGAGATGGCATAATACAGGAGGTCTTTCCAGGGTAATCCATCTGAAGTGCTCATAGCAGAGGAAGGAAGGAGTGAACGAATGAGTGAGGAGTCTGTGAAGAGGAGCTCCATTATCTGAAATCTGATCCTAATGTCAGTGGAGTTGTGAGCTTCAGAGCCGATGTAGTGATCTAACCAGGTCAGGCTACCAGATTTAATAGAAGAAATGAAGGGGTTTTCTTTGTGTTAGTCCCTACGCAAAGTGAAATGGAGCTACAGCAGCATAAATTCACCCTGGAAAACCTAACTTCACTCCTGTGTGCCTCACCGCTTCTCCAGAGTTTACGTGCTCCTCAACCTACATCATCGCACTCCAAATACTGCTCACCGCACCTCCTCCTCGTCCAATCAGCGGTCCGTACTCTCAGTGTTGGTGCACAGCCACTTTGGTTGGTGCCATTCCCCACCTCCTTCCGAGAACCTCCTCCTCATCCTCTCAGTATCCCCTTCATACTCTTCAGCCTCACCTTTACCACTTCTAGGCTTCATGTGGCAATAAGAAATATTCCAACAGCCAATCTCTACTCAAAAAGTTAAAGGGACAGTTCGGAGATTTGGACATAGGGCCTCATTTCCTAGTGAGCCAGAGTGTTGGAGACATGTGGAGACACTTTTTTAAATATTCCATCCATTCCATCCTTATATTTACAGAGGTTGCAAGTGCATGTCAATGGTCATAGTTAACCTGCCACTACCTTACCCTTACCCACTCCACAAAACACCCGAAGCAAATCTATTATTACGCCAGACTGTCGATGTAAATGTCTGTGTTGATAGAATAATTACCTCCGCCAAGGAGGTTATGTTTTTGCCGGCGTTTGTCTGTTTGTTTGTTTGTTTGACTGTTAGCAACATAACTCAAAAAGTTATGGACCGATTTTGATGAAATTTTCAGGATTTGTTGGAAATGTGAAAAGGAAGAAATGATTTCATTTTGGGGGTGATCCGGAAGAAATCCTGGATTCTGGATCACTTTGAAATTTTTGTTAATATTGTGGTAAATGGGGCCAAAAATTTTGTTTCTCAATATCTCGGTTAATTATTGACCAAACCCCATGAAATTTGACTCAGGGATGGACAATGGGATCCTCTTTCATATTCCAAAGGCTGATCCGGATCTGATCCAGAAGACTGATTTTATCGCAATTTATATAAAAAATGGGGGTAGTCCTTGGCGGAGGTCTGCGCTCTCTGAGTGCTTTTCTAGTTTTAGAAATAAAACTAACCTTGCATCGCATGAATCGTCGCATATTGAGGGACTATATTGTCATATATCAGTCCGCCACTGCCAAGTTTTCTATCAGGAAGTACAACTAGCTTCTGCTGCTCAGACATAAATCCTTCACACGCAAGGTTAATTTTACTTCAAAAAATTATTCTATCAACACAGACATTCATATCGACAGTCTGACGTAATAATAGATTTGCTTCAGGTGTTTTGTGGAGTGGGTAAGACTGTTTTTAGTAGCAGGATAACTATGGCCATGGAGGTGCGCTAGCCTAGCACCAGCGACCTCTGCAAATACAAGAACTGGATGGACTATTTTAAAAAGTGTCTCCACACGTCTCCAACACTTTGGCTCATTAGGAAATGAGGTCGTATGTCCAAAATCACAGACTGTCCCTTTAAAGCGCGCTGTTAACTTGAAAACTACAGAGCATTAACAAAGGCAATAACAAAGGGTATTTCAAACACACGTGAAAGAAACACACACAACTCCAAGTATTTCTTTAACATGGCTTAAAGCTCACAAGAGTTGATTTTACGTAACACGGGACCTTTACAGATTGAGCACAAAAGGACATCTGATCTTTTCTTCTTCAACTGTGCCGATGTCATGTAATTATCCAAAAAGCAGCAAACTATCAACACTTTTATACAGTTGTTTATTCAGTGCATGCGTCTCCATTCGTCTCATGTCTTTTACTCCAAAGTCGTGCAGTTAATGTCCAGTTCTTCTTCACGACACAAAGACGGAAGCACTAAGTCCAAAAGACAATTTGTGTACATTATTTCCACAATATTTAGTTGAGGTATTTATTTAAGCTGTATACAATTGGCTGTTGCATCTTAAAGGTGCACTGTGTAACTTTTTCTTTGGGAGTCTGACACCTGCTTCTTTCTATGGAGATGTCATTGCTCTGCCTTGAATGTTCCACAGTATGACATTAAACAGCTCTACTTTACATTTATTCAATTACAGGCAATTTTATAGCTGAAACATATCTTGAAAAGCAGGTTTTATTACTGTGAGCGGGGTTGCCACTCCACAGATCTGACCTGTAACTTGGTCTGGTTTGGCCTCCATGAAGATAGAAAGCTTTAATACCATTCTGTGAAACATTCCAGACAAAATAATAACATCTCCATGGAGAAAAGCATTTGATGGACCCACCAGGAGAAAAGTTACACAACGCACTTTACATTATTTACTTAGTCTAATCCCTTTTCACAATTCAGATGGAAGAATAGTTTATTTTATTGCCTAATTTAACGTTACATAAGCAACTACCTCGCCACTACTTACCACTGCTACAGTCACTGCATACAGCTTTCTCAAGTTGTGTACATCTGCCATCATCTGATACTAGCCAATACCAAGGAAGAAGATTCTTTTCGTAAACACAGTGAACCTATTAGGACATCATTTATAAGCAACCAAGGACATCAAAACCTTGAGTCAGGCCCATAGACTGTATAAAGAAGTGGACTAAAGGAGTGTGACGACACCAAGGTTAGCAGTAGAGTTCTGCGCGGGACAGAATTTTCAGTGCCACTCCTACTCACACCCGCATTGCGCTGTCCCGCTCCAACCCGCAAAGAATTGTAATTTTCATTCCCGCTCCCGCCCACATCTGAAATATTTTGTCCCGCTCCCGCCCGCAAATCCTGCAAGATGTGGACGTTCGCATTCTTAATCTCCATCAAACATGGAGAGGTGTAAAGGAATTGTCTAAAATGTGCGTGAGATTAGACCACATCCGCAAGTTTAGGCTGCTTAAAACATTTTTATTAATGGCAAATAAAATATCGAGCACAAATTATGTATGATAGGCATACACGAATCATTTGTATATTTTATTTACTCTCACATTTAGTTTGCGGGACTGTAGTTTATCATCCCACCCGCCCGCTCCCGCATTGTGCAGTCCTGCTCCCACCAGCACCCGCAATGAGCTTTCAAAATGTGCACTGTTTTGCGTCAGGAGTGCAGGGTTCTAGTTAGAAGTTACAGGAGCCAATTTGGAGCCAGGTTCATATTAGGAATAGGAATTTATTTATGGACAAAATAGTGAAATAAAAACACCAGTAGCATGTAGAGCAGGTTAATACAAACATTTTAGGACCAAAATGACAAGGCTCACTGCAGCAGTTACAGAAAGAAGGGTGACTTTTTTTATTGTCAAAGTCAACTGGAAACAGAGTCAGTGGAGTCAGACGCACCCCCCTTTGCTTACTTCCTATTTGGAATGCAGCGGCTAGCGGGTTAGTTATTTTCACTTATGTATACAGTCTATGGTTAGGCCCATGGTCAGATGTAACTACCTGAAAAATTATCCAAACATTCAAACTCTTTGGCTGCGATGGGGTAGCTATAGAATTGGTTTTGAAACTTACCACATACTACTACCACAACTAAACTAAACATCTGAACAGATTATAAACAGGGCCAGGATTCCTTCATCTTCATCCAAATTAATCCCAAAAATGGATCCGTCTGCTAAAAGAACGCAAGCACCTTCACGACAAGCTTGGGACCAGCACCACCATGTCCAGTACTGTCTAGTTTGTCTTCTGAGTTTTAGCGTTTAGTTTTGTCCAAGAGTCTCATCATAGCTCATGTACGTCCTTCCTCTTTTCTGTGGTGTACGGCGGGTGCTCCACAAAGCTATAGTTGATAACCCCACCTTCATCCTCAAAGTCAATATCGTCTTCTTCTATGTCGTCTATATCTATGTCCGAGCCTGTTTCGCCCACATTGTCACAGCTCCCGCGATTGTTGTTCCTCACAGAAGCCTCGAGAGCTTTCTGTCGTCTGTAGAAATGTGAGAACTTGTTGAAGATGATGGTGATGGGTAGCGCCACCACCAGGGTACCTCCCAGAATGCAGCCGCTAGCAGCCAGTTTACCCGCCACAGTGACGGGAACCACGTCCCCATAGCCCACTGTGGTCATGCTCACCGTGCCCCACCACCAGCAAGCGGGGATCGTGTCCAGACCCACATTCTGTAAACAACAAAAATGCTTAGAATAGTAGCATTAAACTAGAAAAACATAATAGGTAAGATATTTATGATATTTTACAAAAATTCTCAGTTTTATTAGGGATGGGCATTTGATACAATTTTCTTAATCAATCGTCGGGAGAATTAATGAGGTTTTTATATTAAAATTATCATCATTATAATTACTATTACTAATCTACATAAATAAACTCAATTTTACAACATATAAACCATAACCACTATAGAGCCACATCAGCCCGTTTGAGATTATAATGTGTTTAATACAGTTTTGCACTCATTTGTTTACGTTTTACAGAAACAAAACTTAAAACCATAAACTAAAAACAGCTCTTTCCTTGTGTACTGATGTAGTCAGCTTCTGTCAAACTAAAGGACATGACTCAGTGGAATATGAGTGTTCTTTCTGTGACAGAGAAAGGTTGATGATGCTGATGGTGAGTCTATTCTGTGCTTCTATCGCGTTGGAGATGATTCATGTTTTCAGAGATCACACGTGTGCAGGTTTAGTGCAGCTCTTTATTTAACAGTCATTTCACTCACTTTATTTATGTTGGTCACTTTATTTATTTTGGCTACTGTTGGCATGAAAAGTGTTTGTCTTTTGGACACATGCGCGCTCAACTTTATGTTGCAGTAACCGGTATACTGTATATACATGCACCATGACCAAACCAGAATACTCAAAAAATCCAATCATACCCGGGACACTGATGTGCATGTAAATGCACTCATTGAGTAGTACAGTGATCTCCAAGGAGGTGCCAGAGCTGAAATGTGAGACTATGAGGCCGCAACTCCAGTGTTTGCGCTGTCAAACGTAGCCTCGTCTCCTTACAGTACGCACAGCAGCCTACATTCGGTTTGTCGATTGAAAATGAACTGTGTGAACTGAATTATCAATTAGTCAAATCATGCCCATCCCTAAGTTTTATGCCATACTGTGTAGGACTATAGACAAAGGAACAGCTTTTCCATGGAAACAAGCATAAGATCCTCACTTAGTCTTAGATTATGAAGATGCTCGGAGCTCACAGCACGCAGAAGTTTTTAAATGCGATTAAAAATTATTTTTAGACTTACTTAGACTTAAGGCAAACTTTATTGATTCACAAGAAAAATTATTTAGAGACTGTCACTCACACATCATAATATATTATAACGATAGTGAAAATAAATTGCTTACAAGTTTCATACTGTGGCTTTAATTACATTGAACTTTTTTTCAAGTCAAAATGTGGTGAACCAAGACAATTATATTTAGAACTGAAAATATTGCAAGAATTTTTTATTAAGAGTTTTGTTGTGCACCATTAAATTTCCCAAAAAATGAATCATGGAATCGTAAGAATACTGAATGGGGTTGACGTTGCAGAAATGAGCCATAGTGCGTAAAACTCTTGTCCTTACATGCTCATATTCAGCTGTGTAGGCGATGCCAGAGAAGACAGAGACTCCCACAGCCAGGTACAGCAGCAGGATCCCCACCTCACGATAACTGTGCTGCAGGAGAAAAGCTCAATTACAAGTAGGACTATTAACGATAATATTTAACAGAATAACTCAAAAGGCAGGATTAGCCCAAAAAGACTAAATTGTAAATATAAACAATATAACAGCAGAATGAAATACTTTAGTAGTTAGGAAATATTTAGAATTATAAAGAGTCATAGAAGTTATTTATTCAACCCTTTTCAGATAAAATCTAATCACAATATAGAAAAAGAACAAAAACTCTACTACAAGTACCAACTACTCCAAAGACAAAGTACTCATGATGAATATTGACCCCAAAAGTAATTGTTCTGTCTATCATATACTGAACAATCTCCATAATTCTGTTTCTACATTTTCACATTTTTAACTCAGGTTTAGCTGTTTGTCTGTTTTTTTGTTTGTTTTTTTGTTTGTTTTTTTTACTCTCAGCCTCTTCATTCACGTCAGAACATTTTTACCATAGTGTAAAGGGGGTTGTGTGGTATTTCTATAATGCATTACTCTAGAAGAAAGTTACATAACGCACTTTACAACATAAATTAAACAAAACGCTTGGCACTTTAACATTACAAACATATGTTAATTGTTGCTGTGCCCTTAGGCTAGACATTTCAACCTTCATGCCTGTTAGAATATATTAGTGTAACTGTTATAGGTGGTCAGGTCACATGTCCATCAGTCTGTCCCAGGACTAGACCACTGCAGCCTGTCAGTGATTGACCGCAACAAAGAAAAAGTAAAATTTTTAGGTATCTGTACTTTCCTTAAATACATTTTACAGTGGATACTTTTTACTTTCACTTTACCACATTTGAGAGCAGCTATATGTCCTTTCTACTTCACTACATTTTAGATTTTGGACTCTTTATGGTTTGAGATCTGCTGAAATTACTTATTTGTAGCACATTTCATTTGAGTTAACGTACCAATTTTGAGCAAACTAAATACACAAAAATAACAGCTAGAAAAATTAAGAAATCAGCTCAAATCTTTATCAAAACCACTACATTTGATGCTTTCATTGTTCAAAAAATCTCAGCAAAATTATTTTACTTTCTACTCTTAAAGTACATTTTTAAACAGGGATTTCAGTAGTTTTACTTAAGCAGATTTTTTCATATGATTCTTTTACTTTTACTTGAGTAATCTTTTGCCCCTGTCTCTGTACTTTTAAGTAACAATATTGAGTACTTTATCCATCAGTGCAGCCTATAGTAGTGGCTTAAAGTGCAGGAATGTGCCACAGTTTTCATTGCTGGGAATTTCTTGAAAAACAAGCATTCTTTCTTTGTTTTTCTCTGACATGTTAGTGATACATAATGAACCATCTCGCACTCTGAGGATCTCAGGGACCGGCCTCCTGCTGGTGCCCAGAGTCAGCGCTCTCCTTTCTCATTTAATGTCTCTCTCTCTTTTTTAATTTTATGATGATTATTTATGTTTTGATTTGTGATTGTAATGTATTTCTTATTCTGTAAAGCTCTTTGAATTACTTACTGTATAGGAATTGTGCTATACAAATAAACTTGCCTTGCCTTTTCTATGACAATGACAATGACAATAAAATCTTGAATCTTGTGAGCGGCATTGTCTCTCCACAAATCTGACCTGTAACTTGGTTTGCCGCCACCTGCTTGTCTCTGTAGAGATCACTGCTGGAAATTCCTTGAAAAACAAGCATTCTTTCTTTTCATTGCTTTATTTTTGACAATAAAAACTTGAACCTTGAATCTTGTGGGCAGCATCGCTTCTCCATAAATCTGACCTGTAACGTGGTCTGACATCAGCTGCTTGTCTCCATGGAGATCACTGCTAGAAATGTTAGAAAAACAAGGATTCTTTCTTTTTTTTTTGTTTAGTTTTTTTTTTTGTTTTATTTACACAAAAGTCTTGAATTGAATCTCATGAGCAGCGTCACCTCTGCACAAATCTGTAACTTCACTTTGATGCCACCTGCTTGTCTCCATGGAGATTATGCCCTACTGTGGAACATTCCAGGCAAAGCAGTGACATATCATAGTGCATCTTTAAAAATGGGCTTGTTTAGTGCCTATAAATACAACCCTATATTATTTGGTTACATTTCCATGCTACATTGGATTGCATTTTATAGTAGTTTTATTCCAGGCGCATCATTGTTTTTTTTTTTCCTTCACTCTGTCCGCACAATAACAGTGTGAAATCCTGCCTGTACACTGTATTGATCAGCACGCAGAGGTCTGTAGCTGGAGCAAAATCAGATACACCACAACCTACTACTGCGCTCCTCTATTTAGTCTGTCCACAACATGTAATTCACACCGCAACTCATATTTCACTACCATCTGTCAAACTATTACATTTTCTACTTGAGTGAAAGAGTTAGGACATGTCAAGCTTTATTTTTTGAAAATTCAGACTTCTTTCAAGGGTCATATTACACTATTTTCTGCTGATCTATGTTAAAATGTTGTTTTCTCATCACAAACATATCTGGAGTTGTGTTTTGTTTCATTCACACATGTTTAACACACAAACCCTGCATGTTTATCCGGAGTTCTTCTCTCAAACAGAAAACACTCTGTTCCACCTTGTGATTTCATGTGGTAATACAAAATTGCACCAACTTCACTAGAATCATTTGGATGATTTCAGAACTGGAATACTAAACTTCTACTAAACAAAAGGCAACTTGAAAATTACCTCTTCAGGACATCACAAGGTGGACCAGAGCATTTTGAGCTTTGAAAATGAAGACTGATTGATTAATTTATTTTGGTCACAAGTATATTCTGACATTATTTCACACACAGTCATATTTAACATACACAGACCGATAAGGTGTAGGCTGAAGCTTGAGCTTATTCTGCCTTTACCCTTTATTCCTGTCACAGCATCATCTTGAAACCAGTTCATCTTCATAAATAGAGCAAGAGGAAACAAACAAATCAGTAACAGTGCAAACTAAGTCTCGTAATTCATGTGTCTGCCCAGAGTTAAACATTTAAACTTCTTTATGAAATGGAAGAAGAGTGGTGCACAATTTTAGGTTTTCTGTATAGTTTTTCCAGAGGTCCAACGCTTTAACATTTCTGATTTTGAACATATTCTGTCATGATTTTGACAAGAGATTGTTGTTTACTTTGAACATGATTTTCAAAGTGTAATGATCGACTAAATCGTAAAATGTCAGAATTTGAATGTGTATAAATAATGCATTGGTTGGTTCGTTGTAAGTTGATAATGTGATTGCTCTTATTGCCTTTTTTGTAAGGTAAAGACAGACTAAAAATAAAGGATTACTCAAACATTTGTGATTAGACAGGCCGAGTCTGTACCTGTTTTTAAATCACTCCTAAAAATGCACCTTTATTCACTGGCTTTTAGTAAGTAACATGTATATTTCTTGTTGAGTATATTACTGTTTTCTATGTTTTTTAGTAGCTGTATTGTATGTGTACCATATATTTTCTTCTACTGTGATTGTCATTGTCTGTCCTGTGTTTGTGTACAGCACTTTGGCCAACAGTAAAAATTTTAAAGTGCTTTATAAATACAGTTGGTATGGTACATGTGTGAATGAAACAAAACAACTCCAGGTATGTTTATGAGGAGGTAACAACATTCTAACATGACTAAAAGCTCATAAGAGTCAGTTTTGGACCTTTAATAACTTTTTTAGAGATTTCTCTGTTGCGAAAACCATTTTGATGTTCCCTTTGAATATAAAATGTACTCCAAAGTAAGGTGTAAAACTAGATTTACATGAGGTAGTTTTCTAGGTTTGGTTCGATGAGAATAAAAAACAACTCTGATTAAAATTAATAGCGTGTCTGATGCAAATCAAAGAAGTAACCTTTAGCTTTGTCATCTTCAAAAGGTCAAATATCAAAATGTCAAAATGCAATAAGTTATTCCCAGTCCGTGTTTTAATATCACATGTGAAAAAAGAAACGTGGTAATTGAACTTCACAGCATTTTCAGCCATTCGGACAATTTACAATTTACAATACTTAAAGGTGCACTATGTAACCTAAAGGTGCAACTTTTCTGGACGAGGGTCCGTTATTTGCTTGTCTTGTGTTTTTTTTTATAGTTTTTGCGTTGTCAAGAATGTCACATTGTAGAGATTAAACCTCAATCTATCTCAAGGGAGACAACTACAGGCTACGTTATAGGTCAGATCTGTGGCGAGTCGCCCCTAATCACAGAGGGAATACTTATATTTATGAGAAAAAGAAACACCCGTAATGAATAAATGCTTGATGGATGTGTTTAATGTCATACGATGGAACTTTACAAAGCAATAACATCTCCATGGAGACAAGCATGTGACTGACACTCCACCAGAAATGTTGAGTAATACACCTTTAACTGATTGTCTTGTAGGAGATGTCATTGCTTTGCTGAGAAAGTTCCACAGTATGGCATTAACTTTATCTGTCTCTGTAAAAACGAGCACATGGCACAACCAGGCCAGGGTTACAGGTCAGATCTGTGGAGAGGCAACCCCGCTCACAGTAAGAATGCATATTTTCAAGGCCTTTTTGAGGAATAAAAACAATAAATGACTTCTAGATAGATATGTTTAATGCCATATTCTGGAACATTCTTTAAGCAATAATATCTCCATGGTGACAGGTGGTAGGTGATGGTAGGGTTCAAAAAAGAGTTATGCAGTGTACCTTTAACTCAATTTGTTTTGTGTAAATTGTGTTTTGTTTTTTATTTAAATCGTTTGATATGTTGCTGATCTCTGGTTAAATAAATTTTTATATTACGTGTGAAAAAGGGAACCTGATATTTTACCTCCTTCACAGCGGATCTCTTGGCCAGGTCTCTTTCCCTGGTTGAATAAAAATAAATACATCAGATTTGAAGGTCTCACCCGAAGCGTTGCCCCCAGAGACCTGAGTCCAGTTGAGTGTCGGGCCAGTTTCAAAACTCTGAAAATCCTCATCAGCCTGAACACCTGGAGACAGAAATATACCATGTTTTCTAAAATAATAATGTTTTCTGAAAATGAAGGATTACAATACAATGCTTGATAATAAAAGAAACGCAAATCTGCATGAATTTGGGTGAGTGATGCACATTATGATAAAACTACTGACAAAGGGCTGTAGTTTTGGAAATTTTATTTTATGTTCTGGACTTATTGGAACAATAACCATCAAAATCTGATCCTCATTTAATGTTCACTTAGGGCTAGTTGATTTTGTCCGAAAATAAATTGTTAATTTTTTCTCCCCACTAAAAATTTGTGCAAACTACAGAAAATGGTCAAAACTCAGTGATCATCCACTGGGGAAATCTTTTATGAATGGAATAAAACAAATCATTTACTGAATAAAAAAAAGTATTGCATTAAACATTAAGCATTAAGCAGCTCCAACATTTAATTTGATCTCACTGGCATGAGCGCTGCATGGCCCTGTGTGAAAGCCTTTCTTACATTTCAGTGCAATTGGGAATAGATAAAAATGTATTTTCTTCCAAACAAATCAATTTGAACTTCAACTGATTTCATACATTTTTTCTGAGCCCCTTTCACAATGTTTTCCACTCTCATTGTGTCAACTTGTCATGCCCCTTCTACATGATGAATAGATGTGAATGTATGTTACAGACTAAACCTCTCTGTAGTCATAATGCTATTCTGATGCTCTTTATTTTAATGAAATGAAGTACCTGAATGAGTCGTCCAATGTTTCCAAGCTCAGACTCGGAGCCCAGAGTCATATCAAAGAGCAGAGTGATGTAGATGGGCACCACAGACACCATGTCGATGATGTTCAGAGGATGGTGAAAGAACTTCCTCCTGTTTGGGGCCAGCAGCAGCCGCGTCACCACCTCAAAAAGAGAGAGATGTCATTTTGTTTGCACTATGTAACTTTTTGGTTGGGGTTCCGTCACCTGCTTGTTTCTATGGATATGTCATTGCTCTGGAATGGTCCACAGTATGACATTTAACAGCTCTACTTTACATTTATTACAACTGGCAGCGGTTTTATAGCTCAAAAATACTTCGAAAAACAGACACTCTCACTGTGCCTCTCCATAGATCTGACCTGTAACTTAGCCTGGTTTGGTTTCCATGAAGATAGAAAGGTTAAATACCACAGAGTGAAACATTCCAGACAAAGCAATAACATCTCCACAGAAAAAAGAATTTGACGGACTCTCCACCAAAAACACTATACAATGAACCTTCAACTGTTACAGAAATTTGATAAGACTTTTTTACTTACCTCAAAGGTGAACCAGCAGGAGCAAAACACCTCCAGAATTTGCATAGTACGGTCTTCAATAAGCTTACCATCATTATCAAATGTCTGTAATAAGACATGCAATAGTCATAAAGTGGTGCTGATTCTTTTGTAGTAACAAGTTAAAGGGTCCATATTATGCTACTTTATGTTTTATGTGAACATGTGAATGAAAGAAAACACAACTCCAGGTCTGTTTTTGATGAGGAAACAACATTCTAACTCAAAAGAATCAATTCTGCGTAATGTAGAACCTTTAAGGGGAATTTGTATTCTCTCGTGTTATATATATTTACTGTAATACCTACAAAACCTATGACTATAATATGTGGGTAGGGGGTTGATTGATAGATTCTTTTATCACATTTATTTCGGGATTGTGACCAGTACATTTTCAGTTTTTTTCTAACTATTAGATATTTTAAATAAGAAATATGAAAGGAGCTGAATACTCCTACACTGAAAATGTGAGAAAATTGGATAAGAGTAATTGTTAATGAAGCAGAAACTGAGCAGTAGGAACATTTTTGTTTGAAAATGTGTGCAGTGGTCAAGTATTTTATGTTGACTCTGCTGATTTAGTTCCTCACTATTGGATTTTCTTTTTTTCTGTTTTAGTTTTGCACTTCAAAATTCAATAATAAATCTATGAATTATTTAAAGAGAGACACTGCAGGTGAATAGGAAAAGAAAGAGATTTTTAGAACAATTTAAGGCTGAAATGTAGTGATTTTCATAAAGAATTTGGCTGATATTATTTGATTCTATTGATTTCTTAATTTTTTCAGCCATTTTTGAGCATTTGTGGGTTTGGATTTCTCAAAGTTGAATTGTTAACTCAAATGAAATGTGCTAAAATTTAAGTATCAGCCATTTCAACAGGTCTCACACTATACAGAAAAGCACTTTTTACTTTTCAGTACAGATCTAAAATGTAGTGGAGGAGAAAGTATAGATACATGCTTTCAAATGCAGTTAAGTAAAATTAAAAAGTATCCACTGTAAAAATGCACTTAAATAATATACAGATACCTAAGATTTGAACTTAAGTATTGTACATTTACTTTTGTACTTTGCTACCTTCCATCACTCTTGCCTGACCTGGTACTCTGGGATGCTGTTGATGCACATGGTGGCAATGGAGGTGAGCACCACTCCGATGGACAGAAGACTGAACAGTTTACTGGGGATGGAGTAACCTGGGTTCTCCAGCGTCAGCCACAGACACTTTCGCATGTTTCCGTATCGTACCTCCTGGAAATGCTGCATATCTCTGGATCAAAACAACCACAACAAAAGTCAAAACAAAGAAGATAATTATTGCAAATGAATCAAAATGCATACATGAATTTAGAACTGTGTGCATTTTACTGAGTCCAGTGACAGTCAGCCAATCTGGAGAGATGGTTAAAGGTCCTATATTACGCAAAACTGATTTTTGCTAGATTTAAGCCTTGCTAGAATGTTATTGCCTCCTTAAAAACATACCTGGACTTATTATTACTCTGTCTACAACTCCAAAGCTCAAAATATATATTATATATTTAGTTAGCTATGTTGCAAGAATTTTGGAGAGATGTTTTCTGAAACTGAGGGACTCAAATTAGCAGCTGTGGAGGATTTTCACCCTCTACTGTTTGGTTCCAGTCCCTTCTGGATTTGAACAGAATGTAGAACGGCCTGACCGGTCCAAAATGTAAAATATATCTTGTAGCAGTGAAATACAGTACAGACAAAGGCAGTGTGTGAGGACCTGTTTAAGTCGGAGATCTCGTCCACGGAGGTATCGATGCTGCTCACTTCGCTCTCATCTTCCCAGCTCCGGTGGCGGCTGCTCTCCAGTTTGCGGTCATGGTAACGGTAACTGCAGCACGAGTCCAGGAAGAACTCGTTGATGCCCCAGTACTCGATCTCCTGACTGAGAAATACATAAGAAAGCAACTTCTACAAAATGTATTTGTTTCTGTTGTACGGTTTATAATGGTTGGTCGAGTGTAGGCCTGTCACGGTAAATACAATATCGACATATCATTCAATACATGATAGATGGAACAATTATTTTTGGGGGACAATATTTAACTTTGGGGACTTTTTCTTTGAGCTAGTGGGAACATTCTGGCTATTTTCCTGCGCTATGATAACATCTGAGTTGTAGAAGGTTAAAATTATTATCTCTAGAAAACATAGCAAACCAAAAAACTACCAAAATCTTACAAATAGTCTGGAAATATGAACTGCAATTGTGAGAAAACTAGTGTCTAGTTAAATGCCAGAATGTCCCACATTATTATACGTACCGACTTCCATGGACAAACCTACTAACAGGTCAGATCTGTGAAGAGTCGAGCACACTCACAGAAAGAATGCATGTTTTTTTAAGATTTTTTGAGTAATAAGAACACCTGTAATTGAATTAATGCAAGATTGATATGTTTAATGCCAATAACATCTCCACAGAAGTTACACAGTGCACCTTTAAAGCAGGGATAATGTTCCAAAGTATGACTTTAACTTTCTAATTCCATGGAATCATGCAGGTGACATGTTATCTCCAGAAAGTTACAGTGTTGCTTTAACTTTCTGTCATCTTTAAAATATCTACTGATAAATTTGAGTTTGTTTACATAAATGGAACTAAAGACAAAGTGCTGTATCATGCTGTTACCAGAATGAGAAGACGCAGAGCTCCTCCATGACGTGCAGTTTTCCAGTTTGGTAAAAGTGAAGGACGTACGGGAAGAGGCCAGGATTCCTGTCAAAGTAAAACTCCTTCTGCTGCACGTCGTAGTCATCACACACCTGCATAGAGAAGTGAAAGCGCAGGTTCAAAAATACTACTTATCTGTACATTTTCTCAAGAGAGTGTCATATTTTCCTTTAAACTGGTTGAAATATATAACATGAGGCCAGTGATGGAAAGATTAGTTTGAACATATATTTAGATGCAGAATACTGAATACCTGCATTAAAATGTATTTTGTAACAAATTCTGATACGTAAATGATAAAAACAGATCTGTTTGTTTGATTGTTATTACGCCTTTATCACTAATTGGAGATGGAAAAAATGGCACATGCATTCACCACAAGAGCAGTGTTTTCTATTTTTTTTTCTTTTCTTCTCTCTGTTGTGCAGTTTGAAGCCTAAATTGTTTGATCCAGTACAATAATGTATTTAGTAAAGTAACTGTACTCTGAATACCTCCAAATGAAAAAGTAACTATTCCAAAATACAGTTATACAAAATTAGTATTCAGAGTACAGTATGTATTCTCGGTACATGTATTCTTCCCAACTTTTTCATAACTAATCGGAAAAAAAATCTCCAAAAAACTGACAACTAATCAGGGTTGCAGCCCAATTTGTTTGATCCATTGTGGAATAATTAAAGATGTACGATGTAATTTTTGTAGAGGGGGATTGTCCTCTGCTTGTCAACAAGGAGATGAAGTTGACCTAGAATATTTCATAGCAGGGCATTAGACATACCTATCTAAATATCACAACAACAGGTGGCATCTGCCCTAGCGTAAGTTACAAGTCAGATTTCTGAAGAAGGGATCCCACTCACAGAAAGAAAGCAGATCTTTTAAAGTATTTCAGCATAAAAATTTCAGGCAAAGCACCTTCCAGCAGAAAAGTTTCACAGTGCGCCTTTAAAGGCAATATAAATGTTGTTCATCTCTAGAAGTCATGTACTGACCTGCAGTATGTCCTCCTCAGAGTCACAGGACAGTAGCTTTCCCAGTCTGGTGTCCGGAAACTTCTTTAAAGTGCTGGAGCAAAGGCTTCTCTTCAGCCCCCCGACGTTCACATGGACCAGGCCGTCCTCTGAGTCCGACTGGACCCAACTGGGCAGAGTCTCCTTCACCATTTCCACCTGGGACAGTGCAGAGGGTCAAATACTGAACAAGCACGTTTTTATGGTAGTTGGTAACGTAATTCAAAACTTTATTATCAAGTTCTGATTAAAGGTCCCTTATTGTACAAAATTTGCTCTCCCTGGCATTGTGTTTTGTTTCATTCACACATTTGATAAACGCTGCATTATTCTTCATATTCTGTCTGTCTACATCTCAAAAGTTCAAAATGCTCTTTTGCACCTTATGATATCATTAAGTAGTAGTTTTCAAGCTACCTTTTACCTTTAGTTGAGTAAGGAAGGGCAAATCCAGGGCTGAAATTATCCAAAATGATTCTAGTGAAGGTGCATGGGGTTTAAAAACACAGCAGAGCAGACAGTTTCCGTTTAAGAGAATGAGAAGTCTAAATATGCAGTGTATTTGTGTATTAAATATAAATATGTGGTCTGTAATAGAATTGAAAAACGTAAGGCTGTAGCAAGATGTATTTCAAAGCTATTAAATCAAGCTTACCAAATTAAATAAAGCAATAAAATTATGTTCGCTGCTGCTGTAATGCCGTGCAAAGTCAGTCAATATGGTAGAGAATATTGCACTATAGGTGTGAACTGAGACAATCTTCCACAGTCAGCCCCACAACTTACAGTAATAAAATGTGTGCTGACAAGCAGTGCTGGAACGTAACAAAATAAAAGTATAAAAGTAGTAAAGTGCACTATGTAACTTTTCTGGGAAGAGTCCAGCATTTTAAACTTGCTTATTATTTAATTACATTTGTTTTACAATAAAATAATACCTTGAAAAATATGTATTATACTACAAGTGGGCCCACCTCTCCACAAATATAAATTGGCTTGTTGCTTGTCTCTGAGGAAATAGTTTAGTTTAATATCATACTGTGGACCCTCCATTCAGAAAGTTACCGAGTGCACCTTTAAATATACATTTTATGTATCTGTACTTGACTTACGTACATTTTAAAGTAGATATTTTTTAGTTTTACTTCACTTCACTTGAGAGCAGGTATCTGTACTTTCTAGTCCACTATACTTTTGAACTGGACTGAAAAGTAAAAGTATTTCTATTGAGATGAAAAGGCTGAGGGTTTATGTCTTTTTAAATCACATTCACTGTTTAAGAAAATAAAAATATACAAATAAAAACAGCTAAGAAACTGATTCAACTGATTCTATTGAACAAGATTCAGCACAAATCCTTGTTGAGTCTTATTAGACCTCAAAATATGCGCTTAAATAGTGCTTTTTACTATGTAAGTACATTTTTAAGTACTTTAATACTTTTCCTTGAATTCTTGTTTGCTTCAGTATCTGTACATTTACTTAAAGGTGCATTGTGTAACTTTTCTGATGAATGGTCTCTCAAATGCTTTTCTCCATGGAATGTGTCAAACTATGGAAGGGCCAACTGTGCTCATTGTTTTTCTAGGTGTTTTTGAGCTATAAAACCACCTGTAAATGTAAAGTCAAGCTGTTTAATGTCATACTGTGGAACATTCCAGGCAGAGCAATGACATATCTATAGAAAGTAACAAAATTGAGTACTTTTTCACCACTGTTGACAACTAAATTAATATTGTATACAACATATTAAGATCAAGGACAATGTATGAACTCAGATACTCGTCTCTCAGAGTACAACGTATTGATAAATTGGAAATGTGATCTGAATTGTAGCTAGCTTTACATGGGAGCTACAGTCTTATAGTGGTTTAGTATGAACTGATATCAGCTAACATGTGAACAGTATAAATGATTATAAACACTGTGGTGAATGAATATTATCATTATTATTATTACATTTCAGGTTTAGTGACAAAAATGACTCTTTTACAAATAGCCTTTCCAGTTTTATCTTTAGACGACACTATATAAGGAAACAATGAGGAAGAGATGGTTCATTTTGGCAGATTTTCAATGTTTATTCTGGTCCAGTCCAAACCCAAACTGCCCTCTGTGGGTTCTGTCGCAAATGAAGATCTGATTACAACTTGTGACAAAATAAAGAGTCAGAAAAATGACACTTCACCACACAAAATGCAACTATTCTTCAGTCTGACCTTGGCTCACACCATTGTCCTTTGCATAGTTTTGTAGATCAAAGTGAACTTTACTCAGAATTGCATGTTAAACTTTATTATGATTACCCTAAACTCATCTCTATAGTTGGCCTGTCACAATAATTACTACATCAACTTATAGTTCAGTATATGAAAGCTGGACCAATATTTTATTTTTATTTAGTTGGAAATTTGTGCTTATTTCTTAGCTACATCATGACATTTGAGTTGTAAAAGATAAGATTTAATTAATTACTTACTTATATGACTCCTTACAGATGCAAAGTAACTACTAAAGTGGTTCATTCTGCCATTTATTTATTGCAGCTCATGTTTTTTTAGCAATACTGTAGATTTAGAATAGTTTCTGCGCTCTTGGGTTATTGAGTCTGTGGCATAAATTGGTTTAATTACTATTGTTTATTTACTTCAGCAATATATCCCACTCAAGGCGTACTCTATTATACCATTTAAAGAAGACATATTGTGCTTTTGTCTGCTATATAGTTATAATCTATGACACTCATGGATCATTATGTTTTATTTCAGACATTTTAAATCAGAATATCGATCTAAAACCACTTAATAACGGAAGCAAGTCAATGAAAACTGAGGGGCCCAGTGAGGTATGAGGAACCGATTTCTGCCTGCCCATTGTTATGGATAGCTGCAGATCATACTAAAGAAAAGCAGATTTGTTTTTCCTAACTGTAGCACCAATTAAGAAAATGAAATTGGACAACAAAGGACAGGAGAACAAGAATGCAGGAGAATAAAGATTACTCAGGTATGAATGAATCCCTTTGAGTGCTTTCTCCTTACAACCTCTTATATATAGCCAAAAGATATATTACTTCATTACTATAGTTTTTATATTCTCCTTTTTTGGCTACTTACTTTGGATTTATTATTGCCATTTATATTTTTGCTCTTTATTTATTATATTTATTGTGATGTGCGAGCTACTGTGTCCAAATTATGTCCCTTGTGGATCAATAAAGTAGGAAAAATTATAATAACATGGCTCATTTAAAGGTGCATTATGTAACTTTTTGGGTTGAGATCCGTTACCGTCTTGTTCCACAGTATGATATTAAAAAGCTCGATCTTACATTTATTCGATTACAGGTGGTTTTCTAGCTCAAAAATACCTAGAAACACAGACATTCTGATGGATCTGACTCTTAACTTGGTCTGATTTGGTCCCCATGATGATAGAAACTGAAACATTCAAGCGACAAAGCAATAACATCTCCATGGAGAAAAGCATTTGATGGACCGTCAACCAGAAAATGTACACAGTGCATCTTTAAAGAAAACATTTTGCTTTCTGTGTAATCCTAGCCCAGGTCTAAAATATCACTAAAACATTATTTCAGAGATGCCTAGAGACCTTTAGATCAAGTTTTGCAAATTCACTCTCAGCCCACCTGAACACAAATATTGCAATGGCTACTCCAACAGCATCAAGTATTTTATTGGTTTACTCTCCCACCTATTTGGACTTTAAAATCTTCTTTCTTTCTTTCCTCCCTTCTCTACTATTAACTTCTGAAAGGTTAAGCGGCAGACGAAGAGTTAAAACCGCATTAGCCCCACTTTAGGTTAACACCAGTCTGAGATTCACTGGACCATTTCCTCACATTCAGCAATTAGGCAGTATCCAAGTCCATTCAATTACATTATAGGCACACTTTACCTGATGCACTTTGTATGAGCGAACGGCTAGAAATACATCTTTAGATTAGACGGAGCACACGCCGGCCATGAAGCGAGACAGGTTACCAGACTGAAATATGGTTTTGGACATGTAGTTACAGCTCTAGTCTGATATTATTTTGTATTATGTAGTGTTTTTCATGGTAACACCTTGGACAGTCAGTGAAACAAACCAAGAAAACATTTACAATATTTTCCTGTGTTTACTAAGCTCTAGAACAAAAAAATTTCCAGGAGAAGTAAATGAAACTGAACACAGCCTTCATGATGGTTTTGATGGGAACGTAATATTGGCACTGTACTGGGTTTTGCTTAAAAACAAACAAAGCGGTTTGTACTTAACCTAATGCATTTCGAGTAGTGATGGGAAGAATACTTTGAAAATTAATTATGTACAGAATACTGAATGCCTGCATTAAAATGTACTTTGTATTCTAATCAGAGTACTTTGAATACTTTTACACCAAACACATGACATAGAATTACAAACCGCTTATTTTCTTGTTAATTTAAAATATTAATAATTTTAACTGAATTAGAGAAGAAACATTTGCATTTGCACGCTGTTGTTAAAAACTGAAAACATGCATTCCAAAGCCAAAATTGCGTAATCAAGTACTACGTATTCCTTTGATTTAAGAAAAGTAACTACATTCTGAATACTTCCAAATGAAAAAGTATCTGTACCACAATACAACAATGCAAAATGAATATTCAGAATATGTATTTTCAGTAAATATATTTGATTACTTTCCATTCCAACACTGATTATGAGCACAACTTTCTGACACCATAGTAGATTTTTGCTATCACAGTAAAGCTAACAACAACTAGCCTGGTAACAGTGCTCTTCCTGATCACTGGACAATAAAACATGTTACAATTAGATGCAGACAGAACACAGTGCTTTTATTTTTACCTTATACTTATACTTGCAATGGGACAATTTTGCTCAAATACATGGAAAATAATGAAGTACAGGGACTTTAAATGAACACTATTGTAAAACTCATAGCAATAAAACTCATTTGAATAAAATTTCAGAACCGAATTTTCGATTTTTAACAAACTGTATATTTACTGGAGAACAGATTACAACTGATCTGCCCACTTGCTGGACAGCATTAAATTCTTTGGCAGTAAGATGGTCATTGTGCTCAATCCTCTTTTGGGCAGCTTTGGAAAAAATTGGATAAACTTCACAACATCTTAACGCATTTGACATGATTTATCTTGTTATGAATACTTGGTGCATTTGGACAATTGCAGGTGGGAGTACAGAAATCTT